CTTCAAAGGTAAAATGCTTTGATATAGCACATATTCTTTAAAAAAAGAAAAAAAACTTTTGAAATTACAAGATAATTGTGGATTGTGTAGAAAGAAATCCAGCATCTCCTTAATTTAGCTCATGTTATCTTTAGAGAGTTATAGTAATACCTGTGTTTTCCAAGCTTGAGCATTTAAAGTTGTTTGCTTCTGTTGTTGTTTGATAGTTCTTTGCTTGTTTCCTTTACTTATTTTGTAGTAATTTGGCAGGAAATACTATCATGCACTTAAGAATTTGCTGATTTGAAAATAGTATGCCTAAGTTTTTGTATTTGATCTTTCCATCTCTACAGAAAAGTCATCAGAATTTGATGTGAGGGCTTTCTGCAAACAGCTGAAACACAAAGCTATTCAGGTTTGGCTTATTTTAATATAGCTTATGATTTCTGCTGACTTGTAGAGTAGATGCCACTTACCAAGGACAGAAATTGAGTCTTCTGTTTTTAAACCTCTCTGTAAGCTTAGTGCCATCTTAGTTCTGAGTCTGTGCTTCTGAATTAATAGAAGCACCAAAGGATTTGAAGGAATCCAGTTAATTCACTTAATAGAATGCCTTCAGAAATATTTTACTAAGAGTTTCGCTAGAATTTTAAAGTGACCCTAGGATGCATTATCAGTGTGGATTGTACTGTAGCTTAAAGAGTATGGACTCTGCAATCAGACAGAAATGGTTTGAGTCCTGGCTTTGTTTGTACTAGCTGTGTGACCATATGTAAGTTTCTTCACCAGTCCATACTTCTGTTTCCTAATAATAGTATGTACCTCAGAGGGTTGTACCAATTTTAATGCATAGAAAGTGGTCAGTGCAGTCAGGAGTATGGTAGGCACTTAATTGGTGTTAGATATTATTATCTATTTTCATCATGATTATCATCATCCTCATCTTTTGTCATGAGGCTGTCATTTCTTTCTTCCTGTCAGCGTTCAAGCTTTAACATGGTTCCTCTTCTTAATTAGTGTCTATAAACTCTGTTTGTTTTGGACCTAACAACAGATAAATATGTCAGTGTCACCTTCTTTCATCTGGTAACTACTTTTGTTACCCTCTTTTCTCAAAATTGTTTTTTTCTGGTTTTGTTCAGGGGCTTTTTCATTCTATTTAAGAATTCTTAATCATTTCTAATAAGTCAGAGTACTTTCTTGAACGTTTACAAGAATTCCAGTTTGCATTTACATTACGTCCATTCATGAGTTTCAGAGAGAGGAATAAAAATAGCTAATTCATACTTTTATTGCATTTGCCAGGTATTGTTTGAAACACTTTATATATGTTAGCTCACATAATTCTCGCAAAAGTCCTATGAGATAGGCACTATTATTACTGTTTTCATATTTCAGATGAGAAAATTGAGGCACAGAAAGGACAAGAAACTTGCTCAGGCCACACAGCGAATATGCGACATAGCTGGGATTTGAACACAGACAGTTTTTTCATAGACAGTTTTTTGCCATTTTGCCAGTCCCCAAAATAGCTTTGTCGGCTCTGTTTTAAGAACTATGGCTCTTGGGATTCTTGAACCTTCTATAGTCCATCCACCTGGTCTTAGGTTATGGTTGGCATCGCTCTTATCCCTCACTAATCACTACCACATTATTAGCAATTAGCACTAATGGGCCTAGCTCACTTTTAGGTCAGACTTCTTTGCTGATCACCGACACAAAGTATTGATAGGTCTCTACTGTTATATTTCCTACTACTTTTTTATGTTCTTGAGAGTAAGAAATTTGGAAGAAGGAAGGTAAGCTTTAAATGAAGGATGGAAGCAGACTTTAGTAGGAGGCATATTTTCATAAACAGTAAAAGCTGGTAAAATTCTAACTTGACTTGATACATAAAGGTGGGTTGAAGAGACAAAGGTACCACATCAAAAGATGGTTGAATTGGAATTGGATATGTGCTCAGTTAACCATTTTTAATATACATTCAGCTATCATCCCTGTTTTCACATTTTCAGCAACAAAAAAGGGTTCTTCACTGATTTTTTTTCCCACCAGAAAAGCTCTGACCAATATTTAATCATGTGGAGTTTTATTCTGTGTATGTTAAATAGATATTGTTAGAATATTTATATTAAGTTTCCTGTGTACAACTGAATTCAGCTATAGATGGGATCTGTTGTAGCACAGAGGAAAAAAATCTTGTGTTAGGAGCAGTGGATAAAAAAATTAAGATTTTAAGATAAAAGGAAAGCACAGTGAGCTATAAAAAAAGTTTTTCTTTTAAAAATTTTGATAGTCTGTGAGTCATCTTTTTTCTGTTGTCTTATGTTTACAAGTCAGTAACAAATCCAACATATTTTTCTCACCTTTCCATATTTCAGGAGGCCAGCTTTGAGTTAAAATGTTCTCAGTCCCAACTAAGTGCAACCAAAGGTTCTTCTCAGAAAGTAATAGGACCCTGTGCCAAAAGTTTTGTGCAAAGATTCCAAGAAGCTGAGACTTTCATACAACTTTCTGAAGAAATCCAAATGGCAATTCTGTGGTGCAGGAGCAAAAAACTCAAGGCTCAGGCTTTCTTTCTGGGCAACAAACTTCTTAAAAGTAACCGGCTTAAACATGTGGAAGCTCAAGGCTATAGGTAGGTATATTATAAAAGTTATTTTCTTTTTTCTGTAGTCATTTAGGGCAAAAGTATACATAGTCAAGTCAGCATTCTTGAAAATGGGATGTCCAGTCGCCCGAGGCGGGCTAAAAGTAGGATCTATTCAAACTACAGTTTTGTTTGCTGCTTTTGTTGGGCAAAGCTCTATCACTGGGAGGAAGAAAGTAAACGTGGTGAATCGGATTTGTACTCTTCATCATTCTCTCCGTGCATTTGGAAGCGTCTGGAGTGTCTGGGGATACAACCCTGGGTAAGACAGACCTTACCCTCATGGAGCTCTGGCGTGAGCGGGAAGGACGGCCAGTCAGTGCGCAGCTTCAGTGCAGCAGGATGAGGGTGTGACAGAAGCAGGAGGTGCCTGCCTCCCAGAGGGGCTGTGTTCACAGGCGCTGGGCTCTCCATGTACGGATTTCTTCCTTTACTGTGATTCTCAATTCATAGAGTTGCTTAAGGATGGTCATCTTTGATTGTGAGCCAGTCAGTATAGCTTGTAACAATACATAAAGTTAGATATTTTAGGGTTTTATATTTTTATTAAAAAAACTATACATGCCCATGGTAAGAATTCCAGCCACAAATGACTATAAAGATCCTTATTCCCCCTTCACAGAGGCAGTCATTCTGACCAGTGTTTTATGTATTCTTCAAGAAATATTCTGTGAACCTACTATAATTTCTTATCTATAGTTATAGATATGTATCTATTCAGGGTTTTATAATGGTTCCCATGGATGAATCACTTTAACTGCCTAACATTTGTTAAATTTTCTTTTAAAATTTATGGAAAAAATACTCCCATTTTAGTAAATTTGATATGTAATGGTTTTGTAACAAGTTGTTTTTGTTATTTTTTAGATTTTTTTATTGGGGAATTAGGGGAAGGGGAACAGACAAGTTGCTGTCGTTTTGTTCTTCAGTCTAGTTGTGGAGGACGTTGCTTCACTGGCCCAAGTTGGCACCATCATTGTGCTCTTCCCGGGTGAGGCAGATCAGTCGCCGGCTTCTGGACGGCCGCTCACTGCGGCTGCTGGCCGCTCACGCTGGCTGCTGGCTACACACGGTAGCCCATGGCAACCCACTGCCACAGGGGCTGCAGCCTACGCTGCCGCAGGCGACTCCCGGCAGCCCAGCTCCAGGTTGAGCTGTTGTTCAGCATCTTAGCTGTAGAGGGCAGTGTCACTGGCCCTCATATGTGGGAACCGAACTGTGGCCCTCCAGCGTCCCAAGCCAGCTCTTAACCAACGTGCCATTCGGCCGGCCCTTGTAACAAGTTTTGATTAAAAGGTGTGGGAGGAGTATTCCTAAGGAATGAATTGTTGGAAGGGTTTTTACATTGGGGTTCCTTAAAGCCTGTAGCCATCTCTAAAAGAGATCTAATGGAGAGAGTTGTTCTGTTCAAGATTGGGTTTAAAGTCAGGGATAAATGAGGCAGAGATGATAACCATTAAAAGTTAATGAGAAGGATAACAAACTGGTGTTTATTTGATTAAACCTTTATTCTGTACCCCACAAAATATAGTCCTCTTTCATACTGCTTTGTTTTGCTGTTTCAGTAATATATTTGTAGAACATTTTAAATTTACTTAGTGTCCACAATAACTATGGGGTAGGCAGTATTCTCATTATAGATGAGGAAATGAAGGATTTTGCTTAGGGTGGTGGAGAGCTAGAACTCAGTCCAGATCCTCTGATTCTTCTGTTTTCTTTCTTTCTGTTTCCATTTCATTTGGGAGATACACCCACCGTCTCCTCACTTAAAAATTACCACTTAAAGTAAGACAAGAAAACAGTTTCGAAACAGAGATCATGAATTACTAACATTATAATGGGTTTCCACAAAGTTCTGTACTTGTTTAAAAAGGAAGAGGGGCGGGTGTTGAGTACAGACACATGCTAATCTTTTGAAATCTGATCACAGACAGAGAGGCAGTTAGCAAGGTACCGATGTACCTTGTGGCAATGTACCTGACATGGAAGCAAAATACCTAAAATAATCAGCTATTTGAGTTCTGAATTCCCAAACTTGGAAGATGATACATGAATCACAAATCGGGTGGCTTAAGGTTGTCAGTGTGTCTGTGCAGGAAGCCCTGTCTTCTCATTCTTATATAAACTCCCTTTTCACTTTTATTCCTTTTTCCTTGTTCATTTCCTGCTACAACATGAATTTGTATATCCAGAAATGGACTAATGCACCCTCGCAGATTTTCTTTCTATTTGTGATATATCCACTCCCCAGTTCCACTCCTACTGCATTATGAACAGATTAGCAATTATCAGGAAAAAGTTCTGGTACTAAAGTATGGCGGTATCTCACCCTTTAGCTACCTTGCTAGGCAGATGTAGGAGCTACTTGACTTGGGGAATATTATGGGGACACATTTGCCTGAGGGGAGCTGTGCTCTGAAAACACATATTTGGGTTGAAGCTCCTATTTCCTTATTTTTTGTTATGATTCTGGAGTTGTACATAGGCATAGGACTTGTAGATAAATTGTACATTTTCTATTAGAAGTTGGTAAAAAGGAGACAAAAGTTTTTGAGAATGTTTTCTGTATTTTAAGAATCTCAAGATTTTTTCTTTCTCTGTCCTTTAAAGTTTGCCCAAGAAACTAGAGTGCATAAAAACATCTGTTTGCAACTGCCTTCTTCGTGGCTCAGGTAGCAAAACTTCAAAGCATCATCTGAGACAAGGAAGATCACAGAATAAATTTTTACTGAGACAGAGAAAACCACAGAGAAAACTACAGTCAACTCTTTTAAAGGAAATTCAGCAGTCCCCGCACAGGACTCAGAGCGCTTCAGATACCAGTAAACAGAGACTCTCAGACCGTGCAGTTCACAGAACTAATCTCTACCCTAACAGTAAGCAGTTCTTGAGTAGCAGAGTCTCAAATCCTGTCTTACAAACTGAGGAGAAACAAATTCATGAAACTCTTACAGGAAGCAGTGAAAATGAAACTGATTCATGGACAATGGTGCAAATAAACAAACATAATATATCAGGAACCAGGAAGGAGACAGATGACATTGATGATATTTTTGCTTTAATGGGAGTTTAGATGCTCATATGTTTGACTTTTAAGTAAGTGATCAGCAACCTAGTCCAGTGTTCTGCTGTTTTAAGTGGAACTCCTGATATCTGGGAAGATATGAAAGTACCACTTGGACTCAGAGAGGAGTGCAACATTGATTTAGTACAACATTGTACAGCAGCTCATTTCAGTTCAATAAACATTTATAGTAGCTTTGGGTCATTTTATTGACAAGTATTTGACTATTAAATAGTCAAATTTTGACTTTGACTATGTGCCAGGTGTTAAGAAGAAAAATCAACTGGGTCCTGCCCTTGAAAAGCAGATGTAATTCCTTGATTGAAGCTGGTAGGTCCCTGAAAAACAATTTTATGACTTACAAGGGAATTAAGACCTGAATAATTAGGTTTCTAAAAACCTACTCTGTGTCTTCAGGTAAATGGGGCATGGGGGTGGGGAGTAGCAAGGACGCACCTAAAAGGCTACTTTGGCCTTATTGGCTCTGTGGTAGGTAAATCCACTTCTGAACACCAAGGTTTGTAGATCTAATGGTTGTGCTGTCTTGCTTATAAGAACTGATCATCAAAGAAACTCAAAAGTTTGGCCACTAATTGTATTATCAGGGACTGGTCACAACCATTATGTCTTTTTATTTGTTCACCTTATCTCATGGAAGGCGATATTAAAATGCTTTTGGAATTCTTCAAAATTTTGTGAGGTGTTTTTTTGGTTTGTTTGGTTTATTTATAGAGTGCGAGTGATTGATTACAAAAAGGATATAAGGTGACTTACAGCTATATGTGAAATACAACAGGATAACAAAGTAGAAGTAGGTAAGAAAGTTAAGTGAAAAAGTAAACCTAGGAGACACAAAATAGACCCAGGAATGAGGTTAAACATAAATTTTATAATTTGGTGCTGATGCTATCATCTGATATTTGTATGTTGCTTGTACAATTGCTCTGAGGGTAAATCCTATGTATTTTCAAATTATGCGGTTAGGTTATATTTCAAATGTTCTAGCTTTCTAGAATTAGGTTAATAAACTTCTATTAAGTAGGTTGTAGCCTTAAGTTTTTGTTACATTTAGATTTGTAGGAAAATAAAACAGTGCCCTAGTGTGTAGTACATCCTTCTTTTCCTCAGCCATCCTATGTTTTCTCTTCTTTCCTTTCCATTCTTTATCTGGCTTTGTTCTTTCTCTGTTTTTGCATTTTCCCCCTTAACCTATACCAGTGGTTCTTAAACTTTAGATTGAGAATCACCTAGTGGGTTGTTGAAAAACACGGATTCCCAGTCCCTTCCAAAGAGATTGATAAATGTGGCCAGGGGATGGAGCCAAGAGTCTGCATGTTTAACAAGGATCCCAGGTGATTTAGATGCAAGTAACCCAAAACGTAGTTAGATAAACACTTGTTTAGGTTCCTTTTTTCCTGAAGGCTAAACATCCTGATTTAATTCAGAGCTCTTAATCAATCTCAAGGGACTTCCTTGTTTTTATTTCTCCGAGCTTCCTACCAAGTGGTAGTAGCTCCTTAGTGCTTTAAACCATGGATAGTACCAAGGAGATCTCATTCATGACAAATCTAGAAATAGCCATCAGATTCTAAGACTTAGGGTCCAGTTTTGCTTCTGCTTTTATTTACACATGACTCCACTGAGCTAGTCAGTTTCCTTGGGCTCAGGTTCCTCCATCTGAAGTGGCATTATTGTTCAAGAATCATAAACTTTTACAGTTGAAAGAGACTGGATATTATCCCTCATTGGAAAAACCAGAGTGGTTCAGTGAACTAAGGAGGGGAAACTATAAAGCTCTGATTGGACTATGTAAGCCAAGCATTTTTTCTACTTCATTAATATTCCTTTGGAGTGTGTTATTTTCTTATCTCATGCCCCTTACAACAATGGGAAAAACAGTAAAAAGCTTCACATGTGCCCACAAAATAATTTATATATATTTATAAGAAACAGTATTCTATATCAGTTAATTTTCCAAACTTAATGTTTTGAATTTTTAGATGTGCAATCTAAAATATATAAAACCATAACTTAGCTAGTAAATTAAAAACTATACATAGTATCATCATAGTGAATACCAATTTAGTAACTTCTGGTAGCATTAGAACACTCAGGCCATTTATAAGAGAAGGGGATGAGACTTCCCATGCGTCACTTCAAATCCTCTTGGGCTTCTTACTTTAGCTGCTGCCATGGCAACCAATTTGGAGCAAGACTGGGCAACTCCACCCTGTCTCCTGTTCCAGGGATCTCTCACATCCTGCCTCCTGGCCTCTGAGAAGCTGGCAGGGACTGCTTGGCATTTGGGCATGTACAACTTGGAAGAGGTGTGGGGTTGCCATCCTTCAAAGACAATTCAGAGGCACATTTCATAAGGCTCCTCAGAAGGTCCCTCAAGATCAAGCACTAGTACTTAAGTGGTGTCAATGAATCCTTGACTAGCTTTCATTCCTTCTGTCTCATTTCTCCATTACGCCTGTTCCTTGGGACCACCTCCCAGATAAACTACTACATGCGTGCTTTTGTCTTGGGCTACGTTTCTAGAAGAACCAAGACAAACGGTGAAGTAACACTGGCAGACAGATGACTTCTAAGAAAGATTGTTACCATATATTTTACTTTGTGAATGCCTGTATAAAAAGTCTTTTTTTAGCTTAAAATGCTGCTGGTTAAAATAGACCAGCTCTATCAACTATAAAACTACTGAAAATATTTATATTCAGAATTGAATTTTCTAAAAAAGCCACAAAGTTCATTTACAGCCTTCATTTTTCATCTAGTGCTATTGCTATAACCTTTAAATATTCATCCTCACTTTGAAAACCTAAACCACTTACATGAATAGGTCAGTCAGTAGTATCTTAATAAAAATTTTTCCATTTAGTTCAAGGTAAGGCTTTATCTTTCCATTCTGAATCTTAATGTATGAATTCTAAGTCCCATCAACCCTTTTCTCTCTCTTTGCAAATCCGTTTTTTCACTTAAAACTAGGTTTTGTGTGTGTGTGTGTTGTTTTTTTTTGTCTTCCACTAGAGAAAATGTTACTTCCTCCATGACAAGATGTTTTCTGTGTAAATCTACCTGTGAATTTTGCTGTATTCTTGGGTTAGTTTCGCTTCACAAATATGCAGAATATGCAGATGTCCTTTTTCACATATAGTACCACTTTAATATTAAGAACTTGTGAGGTTAGAGTTCAAATGAAGTTCAGAGAAATCAAGCAATTTACCTAAGGTCCAACATATAAAAAAAAAACAAACAGTAATAGAACTGTAACTTGAATTTGGTCTTCTGATTCTGAATCCTGTGTTCACCTGAAGGTGACTGATCCCAGCCTGAATTTATTGGTGTTTCCAGCATGGTCAGACTGAAATTTTATTAAGAATACTTTTTTTTTAATATTCAGAAAAGGACTCAGGAAAAAAAGATAATTTATAGACATACATAGGAGCATTTATCTTTAAACTACCTATCAGTGCTTAATAGAAAAGTAGCTCCTTTTTTACCTACTCAACTTTAATATTTAAGAAATATACACAGTAGACATTTTCTTTTAAAGACAAAGCCCAATAAATAACATGGCAAACCCTTCTCTACACAGTAGTAAGTAGGTTTTCATTTTATGGATTTCTATATGCTGCTCGTTTGTCAGTTTGTTAAAATAGGAAAAACTGTTGGTATCCGGGTTAATTAAATCATTTATAAACCTTTTCCCTCACAGGCCCAAATTCATTGTTTCTGTGGGAAGATGTCGGGCTGAAAGCTGAAGTGATCCTCTGCAAATTGAAGATACACAACATTTAAAACAATGTTGAAATTTTAGGTGTTTAACTCCAGTTGGCATAAAAAATGTTGAGTTTTCAGCTAGCCAAGCATCATTAGCCATTAGTCTTAAGATTTCCTGTTATATTTGCTATAAAGCATCTCAACAGATGGATTCCAGAATAGGTCACAGCACTGTGAAAAGAAAAAAATAATTTTATTCCTTACTTCAGAGGTAGTAACAGATCTGATTTCATCTAATTTAAAAAACTGCTTACAAACTGAGTTCCATGTATTAAACAGAAGGTCTTAATTTGCTCTACCTTTCCCCTCTCCCCAGCCTCCTGCGTTATTCTAAATCTGATGGTCCACATTATCGGATCTATTTCTTTCATGATTCTAAAAATTTCACCATATCTACTACTTTGCTTTTTATTTCTGAAAGTTAATTTTGTTTGTTTTTTATAGAGGTATAATTGACATATAACATTAGTTTCCACTTTACAACAAAATGATTCAATATTTGTATATACTGCAAAATGATCACTATAAGTCTAGTTAACATCCATCACTGTACAATTACAATTTTTTTTCTTGTGATGAGGACTTTTAAGATCTATTCTTAGTAACTTTCAAATATGCAATACAGTGTTATTAACTATATTCACCTTGCTGTATATTAACATCCCCATGACTTAGAACTGGAAGTTTGTACATTTTGACCCCTTCACCTATTTCTTCCACCCCCACCCTCCACCTCTTGCAACCTCTTGCACCAATCTCTTCACTGTATGAGCTTGGTTTTTTTGTTGTTATTTTTCTAAATCCCACATATAAGTGAGATCATATAGTATTTGTCTTTCTCTGACTTATTTCTTTTAGCATAATGCCATCCATGTTGTTGCAAATGGCAGGATTTCATTCTTTTTCATGGATGAATAGAATTCCATTGTGTATATGTACCGCATCATCTTTAGCCATTCACCCATTGATGGACACTTAGGTTGTTTCCATATCTTGGTTATTGAAAATAATGCTGCAGGGGGGCTGGCTGAGTGGCTTAGTTGGTTAAGAGCTCGCTCAAGAGTGCGAGCGCTGAGCAACAGGGTCGCTGGTTCAATTCATGGCCCAAGCTGAGCTGCTGCTGAGCTGCCAATAGGTGGCAGGATGGCTCAGCTATTAAAAAAAATAATAATGCTGCAGTGAACATGGGGGTGCATATATATTTCTGAATTAGTGTTTTCATTTTCATTGGATAACTATCCAGACTGGAATTGCTGGATCAATGGTAGTTCTATTTTTAATTTTTGGAGGAACCTTCACACTGTTTTCTATGGCTGCACCAATTTATATCCCCACCAACAGTGCACTAGGGCTCCCTTGTCTCCACATCTTTGCCAACACTCATTATTTTATTTTAATAATAGGCATTTTAATAGGCATAAGGTAGTATCTCATTGTGGTTTTGATTTGCATTTCCCTGATGATTAGTGATCTTTTCATGTGTCTGTTAGCCATCTGAATCTTCTTTGGAAAAATGTCCATTCAGATCTTATGGCCATTTTTTAATTGGATTTTTGTTGTTGTTGTTATTGATGGTGTAATGAGTTATTTGTGTATTTTAGATATTAACCCCTAATCAGATATATGATTTGCAAATATTTTTTTTCATTTAGTAGGCTGTCTTCATTTTGTTGTTGATTTCCTTTGCTGTGCAGAAGCTTTTTAGCTTGATGTAGTCCCATTTGTTTATTTTTGCTTTTGCTGCCTTTGGTTTTGGAGTCAGATGCAAAAAATCATCACCAAGACCAATGTCAAGGAGCTTACTACCTATGTTTTCTTCTAGGAGTTTTATGGTTTTGGGTCTTACAGTCAAGTCTTTACATTGTGAGTTAATTTTTGTACATGGTGTAACATAGTGGTTTAATTTCATTCTTTTGCATGTGGCTGTCCAACACCATTTATTGAAAAGACTGTCCTTTCACTATTGTATATTCCTGGATCCTTTGTTGTAAATTAATTGACCATATATGGGTGGGTTTACTTCTAGGCTCCTTATTCTGTTCTGTTGATCTTTGTGTTTGTTTTTATGCCAATACCATACTGTTTTGAATACTACAGCTTTGTAATATATTGTAGTTTGAAATCAGAGAGTGTGATCCTCCAGCTTTGTTCTTCTTTCTTAAGACTGCTTTGGCTAGTCAGGGTCTTTTGTGGTTCTATGCAAATTATAGGATTGTTTGTTCTATTTCTGTGATAAATATCATTGGAATATTTTCTATTTCGCTTTTTATTTCCCAGACTAAAAGTTTTTATCTCTTTAGCTTGTTTTTTATTTTTTTGTGACAAAGATTCAATCACCTTGATAATTCAGATTTCCCCCCCCCAATTTTTAAAAATCATCACCATTATTTTGTCAATTATTATTTATCTGTTTTACTATATCCATCCATTCCCATTCATTCGTCAGCATGGAAGTGACCACATGTTTCCTCAGGATACATGGACTTTTATGGACACACTATGGCTTTTATGGATATAGGTATATATACCTATATATAAAACAGGTGAAATATTTTCACCTGTATTGGTAATTCCCTGCTTGATAAAGTATAGCATTTTAGACTTTTTGACCAAAACTATCTACTTGAGACAACCTATAATGATCTGTACATATACGAGGTCTGACAATTAAGTTCACGAACTCATCCTAGAAAAAGTGCTACATACTTCATTGCTAAATATAACTATGGTCACCTTCGACTACTTCCCTTGGGAAGCTATGCACTGACGCCAATGCCTAGTCCACCCTTCAAAGCAATTTTGGAACTCTTTTTCTGGAATGGCCCTCAGAACTGTTGTCATATTACCCTTGATGTCCTCAAAATGTCTTCCTTTCAATATTTCCTTTATCTCGGGTAAAGAAAGAAGTCACTGAGGGCCAGATCAGGTGAGTAGGGAGGGTGTTCCAATACTTGTTTACTGGCTAAAAATTCCCTCACAGACAGTGCCGTGTGAGTTGGTGCATTGTCATGATGCAAGAGGAATGAATTAATGAAAAGTTCAGGTCGTCTAAGGTTTTCACGCAGCCTTTTCAGCACTTCCAAATAGTAAACTTGGTTAACTATCCATTTGGCACAAATTCATAATGAATAATTCCTCTAACAACAACAAAAAAAGGTTAGCAACATCATTGCAAGAAGTTCGGGAACTTAATTGGCAGACCTCCTACAGTTTAATGAAGGGATACAAGTTAGATAATCCACACCCTATGACACATTGAACTCGCAACTTTCTGTCAACTCATGATTTTATTTGTTCTGAGACAGTTCTCATTTTCTTGGAATTTCACTCTATATAAAACCACAGAAGCACTTATACTGTGCCTTCTTACATATTTCTTTCATACCATTTATAAAAGCAGACTGATCTCAGCACCAATCTTTAAGGGTCCTTCACCATTTATACTTCTCCACTCAGCAGGGACAGAGTTCAAACATGCAGGTTAGCACTTAACTTTTGCCTATAGGCCCAAAGGCCAAACCTCGCTAGATACATGTCTACCCACATCTCTACCTTTCTCTTATCAAGATCATACACAAAGAGAAGGAAATAAAATATGACTAATTTTGTAATAATTATTCTCTGAACAGGCCAAGCTCCATCTGGAGCGATGGACTGGGATTTGATCATGATAGTAAAATCAAGGAGTATATGTAACTCTACTCTTTGAATTGGGTTTTGAAAACTACAGAGTACAGCCTGTCAATTTCCTGTATGTAGTCAATAATACAGTGAACACTTACGCTCTCGAAAGCCAGCAGGCTCCTGTGCCTCAATCTGAGACTTTAAGTGCAGAGTGATTCCAGAGTTAGGCAGCAGAGAATGCTGGCATATCTAAAGAAGGAAATGCCTCTAAAAAGTACTGAGAATCTGATAATCTGGGTTTTTGGCCTGATCCTAACATTTACTGTCTAACCTTTGGCAAAGAACGAAACTAACATTTATTATATGGCTAATGTATATACATTAGTCACAATACATTTCATTTTATCCTTCTAACAATCACATTTTTACTAGTGAGAAAACAGACTCAAAAAATGAAATAAGTTGCTTTACAATCTATAGCCAAGAAGAAGAGGAACCAAGTAAAACCATAGCTGTCTGATTCTAAGGCCCATGCGTTTTCTATTATAGCTAATACCACTGTAATTCACTTCACTTCTCTGACTTATAACTGTATCTGTGAAATAGGGATGTTTACTGTGAGGATCACTTAAGTGTTTTGAATGATCTAGTGATATAATCTCCCCAAAGACCATAGGTAGGTCTCGCTGTTCTTAATGTTGAGCCACAATCTGATTTGACTGGTCTGGTGGCATATAGCTTACAGCAGTGTGGGACTACTACTTGATCAATCCCTGGTTTGAACACTATCATTCTATTAATGTAGCTCGAAAACACTGTCAGTTTCCCCCCAGCCTCATTATACTGCTAATTCAAACTCACAGTCAACTAAAACTTAAATTTCTTTTTCAATAAAGGCTGCTGTTAAGGCATAAGTTGCCCAGCTTCTCTTTGTGTTGCCTTTTTAGTGGAAGTCTCACTTCTTTATCACTAAGTAGTTAACAGAAACAGCTATTTTTCTATGACAATACTTAGGGGTCTAAGGAGAGTTAGGATTTCATTCCTGCCCCAGGAGCCTCCATCGTATATATGGGACACAGACAAATAAAGAGGATAAATACTTGAATGTAAGTGAAGGGAGAAGAGCATTTTGTAGAAATGAATGAAGAGGGATTTTGACAGGCAAGTTCACAATGACAATTTAAATGTGAGCTGGACTGGTGGGACCTACAATGACCATTTAGAGGACGGTTTCATATACAACTAAGGGGTACGTGGTTTCATTATTTTCTCATAGCAGCTACCACAGTGCCTTTCACAAAGAAGTTAAGAGTAGGAAAATCACAGGTGAGGGGTGCTGGAACTCTGCAATAGTACAGGGCACTTATTGTGCCCAAGGTATACACTGAAAGTACAAAGTCGTGTTTCACCGCTAAACCATGTCTAGAATTGCAAAATTGCCAGCTCAGGGAATAGCCATTCCGTCTACTTCCAACACATAATTCTAATTTATATGAAGCATTTCTTCTTTACAAATGGTCTTTTAAAGGAATATTTTTATCCCTCAAAGCCTAAATGAGCTTTCTACTATAAAGATAAGTTGTTTATCTTTGAATATCTCTGAAATTGAGAAAGGGATGGTAGTGTCTTTATTGTGGCTGTTGTATAGCTGAGTCAAAAGGCAAAAAGTTTTCACTTCTGCTGTGGTCTAGTGTTGAGCTAGGCCAGGGGTCAGCAAACTTTTGAGATGGAGAGCTGCCAGGGGTCATCAAACTATGGCTCGCGAGCCACATGTGGCTTTTTGGGTCTGTACATGCGGCTCTGAAATAAAATTGAAAATGAAAATAAAACTATTATAGTTTAATTTCTAAAATTTTTAAAGGATATTATTCACATAATGGTGATTATGTAAAAATATATTTATGGCTCTTGAATAATTTTTAAATTGTTGTGAGGGACAGGATTGGCTCTTCCAGGGGTCAGCAAACTTTTGAGACAGAAGGTACCCAAGAGCCACATGTGGCTTGCGAGCTGCAGTTTGCCAACCCCTGAGCTAGGCTGAGGTAGAAAGAGAATGAAGATACCTACTGGGAAGATCCAGCAAAATCTGCAGAAGGAAGAAAGAACAGAAGGAAGAAGAAAAAGTGCTAATCGGTTGTATCATTAAATCATGGCTAAGTACACAGTCTTCCCAGCTCTTGTAATTTTAAGTGATACCTCAATTTAAGAAACACAGATTAAATACTAAAGGTTGTTAGTACATAGAATTGTAAAAAGAATTCAACTCTTACCTTACAGGAAACAACTGAGGAAAACATCCTTGTGTTTTAGTGTCAACAAATTTCTGGATCTGAAGCACTTGTTTTAAAAGATGTCCCTTGGAAGATTTGTCAATTTTTGTTAATACCATCTGCAAGAAAACAAATATTTACGCATTAGAAATAAAGTATTTCTTAATATACAGTTGTACACACTTCAGCACAAATTTTCAATAACAAGTAGGTGATCCAGGCAAGTTTCTTAATCTCTGTGTACTTGTTTCTTCATCTATAAAATAAAACAAATCCCGCTAAAGGAGTTACTGTGAAGATTAAATGAGTTAGTATACGCAATGTATAAAGCATACACTATGTGTTTGCTGTTTAACAGTGCTTTAACTACACAGGACTAAAACATCGTGGATTCAAGACCAGTGAAAAGGACCCTGGAGACATATTGGCAACTGCCATAAGCCAAATGTTGCATATGATCATTATGTATCTTGTGGTCTAGGATATATAAATGAGTATTAGGTTGATCCATATAAAATTGCCAACTTATAATCATTTTTGACCTACAAAATAGTTCCATCTTACATGTAATAATCTAAAGAAAAAATTAGAAATCAGGTAATTTGTAGGTTGTGTCCACTATACCAAGTTAAATATAGTTAGAGTCCAAGTAAGCTGAAAATTTACTAGGCTTACTAGTAAACAATTACTTTGGATAATTTACTCAAAGACAATTACATACTAGAGAAAGATCAAGGCATGGATGATTTCAAAATCAATTAAAAAGTGAAACTGTGATCCATCAGGTTTTCCTGGGGAATTTCCATAAAATTAAATTTCTTGACTAATCATTTATGTTTTCCAGTTATAAAAAATATTAATGGCAGAAGGAGTGAGAAGCAAAAAGTGTGTGGTTTCTAATGACCTGTGAATCCCTCCAAATTGGAGTCTTTACTCATAAAGGAAAGTATGCTGGTATTTAAAAGGAGACATAATTTCTCTACCACAAACTGTTTTTCAAAGGAAAAAAATAAAATTTCTTTCAAGTTAAAACTGAGGAAAATATATGATTTCACAAACTGGTACCTATGATCCCAAATCAGGAACACTATTGCTTAATAAAATCAGTTGGGCATTATTTAGGCATTTTTCTTTCTTTCTCTCTTTCTCTCTCTCTCTCTCTCTCTCTCTCTCTCTCTCTCTCTCTCTCTCTCTTTCTTTCTTTTTTCTTCTTTACTATGTAGACTATGTTTATCAATCATAACTGTAGGTTATCTTCACAAGGCTATTGTAAACCCCAGGAACTCCATAACCACAAGAACACAAAAATGTTGCTGACTAGTAACATGGTTTGATTTGCATTAAACTCTACTGTTCCATTTTAGTGGTTTTCTGACCTTTTTGAAACCAAATTATAGCCAGTGGGTTCTTCACTTTTCCTTAGAAAGGAACTTGCAGAGTGCTATTTTATCTGGAAAACTCACAAAGCACAATCAATGTGGATACCAACGTACTAATGTGTAGTCTATTTTAGGGCAAATAACAGAAAGAACACTGGAAAGATATTCCCACATGAAATTTTGTTTTCTTTAAGAAGATGAAAATCGTACTTGTATGTGCTAGAACCTGCTGTGTTCTTGTACTGGTTCTTAAATTCCAAATTAGTTTAGCAAACTTTTCAGTTGTAGTTTTATTTACATACTGATAAGTTCTATGTGCCAAGCTGATGATGTTACTAAAACATGTTATAGACAAATGTTTACATTGCTATTTAAAAAATCATACAGAGAAGCACTTAAGAACACTAAATGAATAGCTTTAAAAAAATTACATTGACTATAATTTTGAACACTTATAAAGCTGAGAAAGGAAAAGAGAAAATAAGTTCCACAAAACTTATTTTATTAATGCCTGATAATAAAAAGATTATTCAAAAGGTATTCCTTTATCACTTGAGGAAGCAAGACGTGCTTATTCATTAAAAGACAGACACACACATAAAGAACTGGTATTTCTAACTGATTCAAATGAAATACTTACCACATAAGGTAATGCAAATTCTTCACACATTTCTATGGCAATATTGTCTGCTTTTTGAATTCCGACAACACTATCCACTAACAAAAATGTTCTCATCAAACTACAAGAATGCAGAAATAAAGATTAATGACAATATATAATTCATTCATTTCTCCCTCGACCCTCAGATACTAATAAACCTTCCTTTGACTAATTTTCACTCCAAAATTTAAAAATTTCTTTAGGCAAAGAAATTCTCAGTTCACCAGGAAGTCCATCCTATAGTCCAATAGTTAAATAAATTCACAAATAGTAATTTATTTCAGTAGCATGTATTGAACATGACACTATGCCTGGGACTGGATACAAAGATGAGTGAACCCCTTCCTCTAAGAACTTGAACTCTAGTGGAAGAAAGAGACATGAACCCAATTAACTATGTTATCATAAAAATGTCTAAATTTTCAAATATTACTTTAAAATTAATAGATAACACAAACCAGACACATTCTATTTTGCACTTTCTTATGAAATATTTCATTTTAGTTTCTATGTAAAGCTACAAGGAAGATACTTGTAAACACTTTTTGACACTTCAAAAGTTTTACATTAATTTTTCTATATATAGTGCAATGCTTGAAACATACAACTGCCATTTGAGTATCTATGGAGACAAAAAGTGGTAACATTTACAGAGGATGTGATGTCAGAAGTATCTGAAGAATGATCAGAGTTTACAAAAGTTTATTTAAATCTGGTAAGTACCACATTAACCAACAATTTTCGTTTTCAAAATTAGCTGAGAGTTTGGTATTTAAAAATTAATAAACTCTGCTGAAGTATTATTTATAGTCTCATTTTATGGAAACACTTGAATTTAAGATTAAGCTAACTTACAGGGAAAAACTAAGCCAGCAATATATACCTTGGTCCTAAATACTGTATTGCAAAATATTATAATAATAAACTGGACTTTCTAAAAGAAGTCCCTTGATAAAATTGAAGTGGTCATCATGTTATTTTCATATTAATGAAAATATGTTTTGGGTTAAATGTGTAACTATTGTAAGAAAATGTTTTCCTTACTTTCTTCTTTCTTTTAGATAGGTCTCTACCATGCCAACAAAATCTTCAGGTGCTCTGTAGCCATAACCTGGCATGTCCACCAATGTAAAATATTTTCCAACTTTGAAAAAGTTCATTTTCTTTGTGTGCCCCTGATAAAGTAAATGGAAAAACAAAAGCTTCCTTAAAATATGTTGTTTATATCTTTCATGACTCAAAGTATTTTCTATTCAATCAACACATATTTGTTAGCATGCCTAAGTATTCTATATATAATCCCAGCTATGCTGATGATGATACAGGAAAAGATGATATAATAGAAGGAAAGTGACTAGAGACAAGCTTAGATACTACCTCTTCCTGCCAATTCATAATTTTAAGAGACTCTATACAAGTTAAGAAGGATTTTAGATTCTATATTAGAAATATGCAGGCAAAATATTTTCGAGTCTTTCCTATTAGCTCTCTCTCAGAAAAAAAGTTACCCTATTCTAAATGGTGTGACTACAGTAGTCAACATTCTCTGATGAGTAATATATCTCTAAAGAGAAATGAATTATGGCACAGATAGGTTAAATTCAGTGCTTATTGTCAGTCATATAGGTTTTCATAAAGCCTAGATGTAAAGCCTGATAGTTTATTGCTTCCCTAAAATCATGATGTTTTGCATGTTTCATTAGATTGGTTTTAGTGCTTTCAACAACCATTTTTGAAAAAGCAAGTAAACACTATAAAATATCTGTGCAACTGAAGCTAATATATAGATGATAAGTCATTTATTCATGGTTTTGTGTCTATGGACATTTACTAATCAGAAAAGGAAAGATTAACATAAACAGTTTAAAAAGTCTATTGTTTGGAACTTAGTACAAATATTTTAAGAGGAAAGATTTTATAAATGGTGCTTAGGTTCCCAGTCAGTTATGTGTCTCTCTATAGGAAAATGATTTTAGAATTACAGATTAGGAATGTCAAACGTACATTTCTTCCATTGTCTTCTCATAGCAGGAAGGGAACCACCCTACCTTGAAGTGAGAGTTTAGCTGGGTTATTTGGTGAGGTAGGGCAGGAGTAAAGATAAGAGGGTTAACACATGACACCAATCATCACTGATAGAGCCACGGGAGTCATAATAAGGTGAGGGGGACTGGGGATGAGTTTTGAAGAGAGGATATCTTCGATATTGGTAGAATCCGCATCACTGAGAAGGAGTAGAGGAAATCAGAAAATGACAGAAAGCTACTACAGCAGACTGGCTGGGAAAATAAGGACATAATTTGGCCCCGGGTAAACTGGGGACTGGCTGACTGATGTATATGTATGAGTTAGCAAGGTATAAAAGGTTATAGGAGGGAAAAAAACCACTTTATTTCCTCTGAAATCAATGTAGAACTGGATGATCATTCTCATAAAAGTAAATATAGACTGATGACAGAACAACTCTGGAAAAGACTGGACCAAGGAAAATTTCCTCAAGATACTGGCAAGACTACTAAAATAAATCCAGATATACTTTCTTTTTTTCAGAGACATACACAGGCATTAATGAAATGTCTTACTTTACTAGTTGTTTGAAAGAAATAGCTTTTCTAAGAACTTAGTAATTATGATTTCTTGTATCTCCCTATATTCACTATTCATTTTAGTCGATTCAGAGATAGTTCAGATAGGTTTTAAATTTCAACATACCGGTTTTTTGGAGACTCTGACTTCAACCTCTGGAGCCAATGAAAATAAAGCCTTTATTAGAGAGGATTTTCCAACATTGCTTCTGCCTATGAAACACACCTTATACAAGAACAAAGATAACTGAGTACTAGTTTACATATTTATTATATGATGTATTTTATCAAAAATTTATCAAACTATTCAGTCCTGCCTTAGACATAAAAAGTGATTTATGTTTAGTGAAACCTCAAATTCTAATATACAGCTACTATCTACTGAATGATTTCAATGTGCCAGGTGCTATTCTAAGCACTTAATATATATTTTCTTTCTTTTTTTTTTTTTAAGATTTTATTGGGGAATCAGGGAAGGGGAACAGACAAGTTGCTGTCCTTTTGTTCTTCAGTCTAGTTGTGGAGGATGTTGCTTCACTGGCCCACGTTGGTGTTATCATTGCGCTCTTCCTGGGTGAGGCAGTCGCTCACCGGCCATTGGATGGCCGCTCATGGCAGCTCACGAAAGCTCACTTCCGCTGCCAGCCAGCCCCACTGCAGCCCATGCCATCACCAGCAACTCACGGCAGCCCAGCTCCAGGTTGAGCTGTTATTCACCATCTTAGCTGCAGAGGGTGCAGCATCACTGGCCCATGTGGGATCTGAACCGGCAGTCCTGCTGCTCAGAGCTCGCGCTCCCAAGCCAACTCTCAACCAACGAGCCACTCGGCCGGCCCAATATATATTTTCTTATTTACCTTTTACAACATCCCTATGAGGTAGGTAATGTTATTATCCCTATTTTGCAGATGATAAAAATAGAGGCAGAGAGAGGTTAAATATCTGGCCCAAAATTATACAGCTAGAAAGTGAAGGAGCTGGAACTTGAACTCAGGACATTTATATACAGAGCCTGTGTTTTTAATAACCCTATGCTGCTCAAGAACATCTTGCAACATTTACTAAGCATTCCATATTTACAAAGCTTTTAGAAGTTAAAAACCAGAAGCATTTCAACAAAACTGGCTTTAAGTAGTACACATTTTGAACATTTCCTGACAAATTTTCAGAGTACTCTGTAACACCACTGTTGTTAAGAAGTTATTCCTTTCTCTTGACCGCTCTTTCCAATTAAATTTTTCTTTTAGTCCTCTATAGCATAGAAAGCAACAAAATATTCCTGATACTAACCATTAATACACATGGCTTTGCTTTCTAACATGGTATTGAAGGGGGAACAATAGCAATCAGTGGTTCTAAATGAGGGTAGTACCACCCCCTGAGGGGGGTGTTTTGGAAACCTGTAAGGGTAGTTTTGGTTATCAATATGATTATATGGCATTTAGTGGGCAGGGACCAGGGATGCTATATATTGTGAAAAACTGGGGTCAGTCCTTCAAAATGAATTGATCTGAGTACTGCATAAATTTCAAATGCTCTGCCAGATTAAATCCAATGATACTACGTTGATAATACAACTGAATTTTAAAAAATGAAAAGCACAAAAAGTCCAGTAATTTAGAAGCTTAAATCGAAAAGCAATGCTATTTCAACATTATTAAGTGATTCATATGCTCTTAAATTATTACACCAGTTCTAAATGTATTTACTAGAAGAAAAGTTTCAGTGCAGTGGTGCAGATACTACAAGTACAGCAGGTTCTTGAATAACACTGTTCCATTCAGCTTTGTTTTGCTGTAAAGCTGACGAGGAGAAAAAAAAAAAATCAATTTGCGGCCAGGGCCACTGTCTGTGTGGCGTTCGCACATTCTACCCATATCTGCGTGTGTTTTCTCCGGGTACTCTGGTGTCCTCACACATCCCAAGATGTGCAGGTTAGGTGAACTGGCATGTTTACATTGTCTCACTAGAAGTGAGAGTGGATGTGAGTGCTCCCTGCAAGGGAACGGCGCCCTGTCCAGTGCTGGTTCCCACGGTGTGCCCTGAGCTGTGGGTCAAGGCTCTGTCCCTGTTACCCTGAACTGGAATAAACGGGTTGGAAAACAACTATCTTACTTGTTTTTGATAATCTTTCTTAAATGTATGTGTAGTTCACATTTATCTCCATGTTTAATATTAGAAGTGTTTTGGGTATTTATAAGTTTGGTGATGTTTTTGTGACCAGAAACTTAACCATTAGAACTTAACTCTTATTTGTATCAATTAGCCTAGGTAAAACTGATTTCGTTATACGTCGTTTTGCTTAAAGTTGCAGTTTCCAAGAATAGATCCAGGATGTTGAGGACTTACTGTATGTAAAGAGATCTGAGTTTTCTTTTAGCAGACTTAGAACAAAACATTGTTAAACTGCATGACATGCATAAAACGCACACTCACGGAATTTCACTAAAGTTGTTTTCATAAGTCTTCTACATTTATTGCCACCTATGTATAATTATTTTTTACACGATAGGAAACTTAGATTGGGTGAAAATAACACTGATAAGGATCAGCTCATTTGTGAAACTATTATACTTGTCATCTTCTTCCCTTTGTTTTTCCTACTTCAATTAAATAGGAACAAGTTAAACAGATAATTTTATGAACGCTCTGTTTGGGTTTTAAAACCCTTTGAAGTCTTCTATGGTCATGACCAAAATAATTAAAACTAGGTTTGGATATTTAGTTGAACTAATTTTTGCGCGTCCACACAAAATCTATTTCCTTTTGTGTCAAGAAACAGGTGACACACAGCAAAACCCCTGCCCAAGCCGTCACCACCCGCTGCTGGCAGCAGCGCTCTCACCTCCGGGCGGGGGAGGGCAGGGGCGTGGCCAAGGTGCTCCGCAGAGCTTAGGTACTCGATGCGGTTCCGGGCGGTGGCGGTGAAGAAGGTCTCCGCTCTCGCGATGTCTTCCAGGCTCGGGCCGAAAGTCTTCAGGTGAAGGTCTGGCCTCGACTCCGGGAGGAGCTGCCGCTGGAGTTCCTGTAACGGGAACACGAGCTTCGTTAGTTGCCTTTTTGGCAGCCGTAGAACCTCCGCGAAGGCCTGGGACGTGCTGTAAGGTCGGCTCACGCGCCCCAGCGCTGCCGGCATCTCCAAGAGGCAGCCCATGCCCGGCAGCAGCCCGGGTGCTGCCATGTTTCTCTCCCAGAAGCCCCACAGCAGGACCCCATTGCCAGCGTGCGGGCTGCGCGTGCGTGACCCGGCTCCCGCCACGCCTACTGGGAATTGTAGTCTCTTGTGGTCTCGTTCCCGCATAAGCTCTTTACTTCAAGTGAGCTGGAGGCAGGGGTTTCCCGGCTGGGGAAAAAACCCGCTGGGCGCCTTTCACACTCTGGCCTTGACGATTGCGCCTTTGACGTGTATGTGGGGAGGCTGTGTAGTGGTTTTTTTTTTGAGGTGAAAAGACACATCTGGCTGTGTCTCCGTTGAGGGTCAAAGGAAGGGGAAACAGGGAAGATCTGGTGGATTCCAGGCTCGTTTACTCTTCAGTTTGTCGTTCTCACGGATCTCACATAATTAGGAAAAACACTTGTGCAGAAAGGGCTGGTGAGAAATGTTGTTGAAACGACGCCTGAATTTCGGGGAGGAACAGCATATATTTTCAGCCTTTTCTATAGCTGCAGGAAATGTCATTAAGTTTTAGAGATTTCTTATAGAATAAAAGCAAAAATAGTTTTGCACAGGCGTTAGAGTTGTTTCATGGAAGTTACATAAGGACATTTTATTTCAAAGGTTTATTCTCAAAGCAATTCAAACTGACCGGCCCCAGAATGGGAGATACAGGTATGATGAAATGAATAAACGATTTTCCTGCTTAGACTATAGGTCTTCTGAAACAGCACCATACAGCAGAGCAATCTTAATTCAGCCTCTTGAGCGATCCCCCACGTTGTTCAGTGACTAATCAGGGCAATTCTTGAATGAATGTCTTACAGAAATTAATGAACAGGACCAATGACTTTGATAGTAGCCTGACCAGCTTCTGGCCACCTAATTTTTGATCTTTGCATTAGGCTTTGAGACTTCCCTCCATCCCCTAGTCTCACTCCCCCAGGCTAAAACACTTTATTGTAAACATCCAGATATCAATATGTTTTTAATGGAAGTATATTATTCCATTTATTATTGTCCTACTGATTATTATTTTTTTATTATTTTTGTTATTACAAACAATTCTAAAGTGAGCACTCATAAATAGATAATTTTGCACTTGTGGGAGTAAGATAAATTCCTTGAAGGGGACTTGATGGATCATAGGATATGTGCGCTTACATTTTTCATATCTCTTTTGAAAAATTGTCCTTTAAAGAAACTGTATCAAATTACTCCCTAATAACAAAGTACTGCAGTACCAAAGCAGACACTATAAAACTAGGGTGTTATCAATGTTGCGTAATCTTGCCAATCTAATAGATGAAAAATCTTATTTCTTGTTTAATTCATGTTTTCCTGATTATTAGGGAAGATGAACATATTTTAGCATTTTGTTTGGCCATTTATATTTCCATTTTTGTAAACATGTTCTCATTAGGTTATTCACCTTTAAAAAGGATTTATAATAACTTTAATTATTGAGAACATTGATCTCTTGTCTGGCATCTTTTCCAAATATTTTTCCCAATTTATCTTTTGACTTTTTAATAGTACTTTTCACTGTAGAGGTTTTTAATTTGTAGGTGGAACTGAACAGTCTTTTATGTATTCTAAGCTTTTAGTTATGTTTAGATAATTCTTCTAAGTTTATAAACAAATTATCCTATCTTTTCATCTCGTAGTGTAATGGGGTTTTCTTATAGTTAAATATTTAATACATCTGGAATTTAATGAAAAGAGTCCATTAAGAATTCAGCTTTATTTTTGTCCAAATGATTAGCCAATTGTTTCAACAATATTTATTAAATATTTCATCTTTTCTTCACTGATTGATAATACTATTTGTAACAAATTTCCAAGTGCATATGGGTCAATTTCCAGACAACTGTGAACTTTGAAAGTGCTTTGAATGTGCCATTTCATTTCTAAACCTTTGGGTCCCTGTTTTGGAAATAAACCAGAGAATAAAGGACTTTTGCTAATTCTTAGAGGGGTTTTATAGGTGTTCAGGGGTTAGTAGATGCCACAGTACTAATAATCCTACATAGTCTGAATCCAGAAAAATTTGACAGGACAGTTTTTGCAAAGTAAATTGTTTTGTCATCCAAAGTTTGGGGGGGGGGGAGGAAAGGGGCATCAACCAAGTAATCCACTGGAAATAAATGACAAGGAAAACCACTTAATTTATTTAATCATTCTTTTTTTTCTTCACTATGTTTTTATGTATCTATGTAAACAAGGCATATACAACTTCAGAAAGATGGTTTAGAGGAAATAATACCTTATGCTTTCCCTGGGTAAATGTGATAAAACTCTTCCCTAATTTCCAGGACAGGCAGAAGGTCAAAGATGCATAGCAGTGAGGCCTACTAGCAAAGGGGAAAAACAGGAGGAATTAGCTTAGGGGAACTAATTCTGTTTTAGAGCTGCCATAGAAATCCTGGGGTCCACAGGGGATTGTCAAAGTCCAGGAAAATTAAGCCCTATCAGTATTGAAGGGGTTCCAGTCTGGTGGATGGGATGTTGCAACAGTACTCTCTGTGTTCTGGCGATATTTTGACTTCTTGTTGGCAGCATCTTGATTCCAGGTGAACTGTCTAGGTGAAGTAAGACCCTAGCCAATGGCTTTGGATTGGGAGTCAGGATGTAGCCTCCTGGCTAGGTAAAGTGTTAGGGCTGAGATTCAGAATAGGATTTAAGTCCTGGTGGGGAAAGGGAGTGTGGATTAGGAAACCAGACAGCTACTTAGTCATGCAGATTATGCAAACATAACAAGAACAGAGGTAGGGCTTGAAGGGATCTAAGGGCATCTTTAGCACTCCTCTCAGGGAACTGTGGAAAACCCACCTTTGGTCTAGTTCCATAGCACTGAGGTCAGGATGTACTTTGCTGAACTGTGATAGCCGGGGGAGATCAATAAATGAGTACTGTACTGTTCTGTGCTTCCCTGCCCTCTACTGTATAATGCTGTAGTGTATGACTACATTATCTAACACTGAGAGTGATAAGGCACCCCTGCTAGACTCCATCATTAGTTTATTCATCAAGTATTTAATGAGAACCAATTACATGCCAGGCACTGTACTAGGTGCTGGAGATACATGAGTGAGTAAATGAAATAGAAAAAAAAAATTCTGTCCTCATGTTATTGTCTTGAGACAATACATAAGTAAAATACTGAGTATATTAGATACTGATAAATGCTTAGGAAAAAGCTGACACTGGGTACGGAACTAGGGTGTGTGTGTGTGTGTGTGTGTGTGTGTGTGTGTGGTGTAGGATGTTGCCATTTTAGTGTGGTCCTCACCAAGAGGGTGATATTTGAGCACAGACTTGAAGGAGATGAGGGAGTAATTATGTGATTATCTGGGGAGCATTCCAGGTAGAAGTGCGAAAGCTCTGAGGTGGGGAGCATGTATGGCTTGTGTAAGAACAGCAAGGGGGCCAAAGTAGCCAGAATGGAGTAAAGAAGGATAGATGCTGGCAGTGACTCTAGCTAGTCCTCTCAAACTTTAGTTTGCATATAGAAGTTTGAAGTGAACAAATGTTGTTCTTAGCTTTTCAGCATCCCATACATATAGAGGAACCATCTGTTCCCACTCTATGTGGTTCTGTTGGGGCTATTAATAACAGAACTCCACTCTTCTGACCACAAAAGGTATGATTTGGCCATACATTGGTTGTATTATGACAGTAATGACTATTTGATTAATGTGCAGGTGATCCCAACCAAGCCAGTCGCTATGTTAAAACTGAATGGGCAGCTGGCTCAGTCATTGAGCCTCTCGTCATGAAGCTGGAATGTGAGTCCAGTACTCACAATGGATGTTCTTCCTAGCTACATGGAGGACACCTACCGTGCTTTAAGAGAGAGCAAAGCTAACACACAAAAACAGTATTGAGAGGTGAGGGTGGGGGATGGTGTGACTCCTGATTGCCTTTGTTGAATATCATCTTCTCTGATGTTCTATTCCCCGATCACACAAGTCAACACAGTATGTTCCTCTCCTTGTTTTTACTAAAACTGGTTTGACCTGGGTTTGATAGCAACCAAGAGTCCTGATTAATACAGCATTGTAAGATGCGGTGTGGTTCTTTGTGTAAGTCCAGAGCCGTCAGACTACCATGCAGGATAGTTGGAGTAAATTTCAAGCCTATGATAGAGGAGTCATGGTAAAGCTTTAGGGCTTCGAGCGCCATGGCTGCAGGTTAAACAGGCCAAAATACTATCTTCCCTTCATGTAACAGCTGGACCTCAGGAAGTTCAAGAGTTTCCCTTCCACTCAAGATGCTTCCTCATCCAGTGGCTGGTTATTTATGACCTTTGATAAAATCCAGTAACCTGGCTACATTGTGAAAATTAGCAGAGTCCAGTATGTGTTTATGGTCATCCTCCTGAAAAAAAGTGCCTTCTGTTTGATAGCTTCACTACAAAGTTAAGATTTTTACTGTTCAGTATGACTTGGGAAAATTTGTTACACACATGCTTCAGAATCAGCTTTCATTGCTAAAATCTGTCTGACCTCAATGTCATACTTATAATCTGTCATGTTCATCTAATGAGACTAGAAGGAACATAGGAAGAACAGTGGTGGGACCTTACCATTAGGACATGATCATCTCAATTGTTCCTTCAGTAATGTCTGTCTCTATAGTGAATGGCCGTTGGGTCCAGAATGATCTCAATTTATAACCAAGTTCTATAGTTATCAAGTTTATGGAATTCTTCTAAGACATGAAGAAAGCAAGTGGAGGCCTCTATAGGTAGGCAGAACCAGGGACATCAGAGAGTCAGAAAGCACAGTGTATACAGATTAACGCTCATCCTATGCTAGAAAAGGTTTGAATGCTCCGACAGAAGCAAGATCCTAGGAAAAGTTACTTCTAGATGCAGAGAGAGGTAATGGGTTAGGTCTCAGTGTTTAATTTACAGAAGACTCTTTCCTACTACACTTCTCCCCTTCTTTTAACAACAGTAATTAACATTTATTGAGTGCCTACGATGCCAGGATTGATCTGGGTGCCAGGAGTAAAATATGAGAAAATCATGGTCACAATCTTATTGGGACCTCAAACTCTTGTATTAG